GGGGGAGGGTGAGGGAGGCCCTCGGAGGCCCCATATGTATAATTCTAAGAGATTTGTATGATTTGGACCATGGCCAGACAGTCATTAATTTGTTCAACAAACATTGATCTTAGTACTTGTGTGCATAGCATGTGTTAAGTCACCTTGGGGATGCCAGAGGGTTTTGTAAGGCAGTGTGTTTCCCTACACGTACCTGCACGTTGGAATGATGTGGGGGAACCACTTCGAGATTTCAAAGCCCAGGCCACACCCCAGACAGTGTCAGGCTCCAGGTGTGGGACACATATGTCAGTGTTTTGGAAGCTGTCTGAGGATTCCAGCGTGTAGACAATTTGTGAATCACAGCCACACGGAGCTCTGATACGGTTTTAGATAATGCACCCAGAAAAATGAAAGAGCAATTAGGATGTCATACAGCAACCTCACAAGGCAGGTGGGAGATTCCAAACTAAGTCGGAGCAATGAGCATAACTTTCCTCAAAAGGAGAGGCCTATGGGTTAGGTGGTGGGGACCCCCCGGCCACATGGCCTGGAAGGTGGGCGGGCTCTACCAGGTGCGGGGAGGAGAGGAGGGCCGGCCCTCCTTTCATCTTTGAACTCAGCCAAGTCTGGGAATGACCTTAGATCCCTGTGTAGGGATTTTGGGTGGAATGAGCCAGCATAGTAAGAACTTGACATTTCATTGCCATTAGTGGGTGAATGTTTTTCTTATAAGAGACAAACTACAGGGTGCCCACTGGCCTCTGTCTTGTGTGCACGTGAGCCGAGAACCGTGAGGTGAAGCACATCCCTCGGGACAGAAGTACTCAGCTTCACTTCTTGGTTCTCTTGCTCTTAAAATTGCTCCCTGCCCTCTTAATGGCCACAGCGAACATCTCTACGTGTGCCCATCAACGCACAAACGAGCCATTTTATGTGGGCTGTTCCGTCCCCCAGGGTCCCGTGGAGCCGTGAGCTGTGGCTGCACCGAGGGCGGGTGAAGGTACTTGACCTTGGCCCCTCCTGGCTGCTCTAGGTGCTTACAGACCCGGGGTTGCTGCGCAAACCGTGGTGCTGCTAATGGCCTACCTGTCGGACCGCATGGCTCTCATTTGGTATTCTCAGCACTTTGGGTTTCTAATTAGTTTTTTTAAAAATTGCCCCTATTCTGTGTAATTTCAGAGGGCGGAATGGAATGCTTCAACGCTATCAGGAAGTTCTTGGTGAGCCGGATCTAAGCGTGCCTTTTCCCTCTTGTTCCCACCCGCAGTGTGCCACGCCGAGATGAACGCCATCATGAACAAGAACTCGGCCGACCTGAAGGGCTGTGCCATCTACGTGGCCTTGTTTCCGTGTAATGAGTGCGCCAAGCTCATCATTCAGGCAGGTGGGAGCGGGCGTCCCATTTGTCACATTTGCATCGCGGCCCGCTCCTTGCAGGAGCGTTTGATCTGAAATTGCTATTGTTTAGATCTGAATTAATTGCACTATCGACTTCGCAAGATGCTTCCCGTTTTTCGTGTTTGAATGGTGCCAGGTATCCTACGACTAATTGCATCCTCTGTGATTCTTAGCATGTTTCTAATTTAGTTTGCAACGTCTTAAACTGCAAGCTGCCGAAAAACAACACAGGCTTTGCATATAATTACTGTCAGTTTTCTGTCCTCTGACATATTGTGCATAGATTAGGGGGGGAGGGTGAGAAATGAGTTTCTGTCAGCAACAAGGTCAACTGGGAGTCTGTATATGAAATTTTAATTTGTGTCTAAGGTATGGTAGGTATTTGAGGACCTAAACATCTTTGCATATAAATGTCGTAAGACTCCACTGGCACCGCTTTAAGTTTTTCTTACCCTAAGTCTGCACCACTGTGTTCTGAATATTTCACCTTTTTCAGATTGTCACGTTTAAAACTCAGCTACACTTTATCTCCATAAAACTCCCAGTGTGCGATTTAAAGACTTGCCATGTGGGCCAGATGTGTGGTTTAGGGGGGCTGTTTGTCGCGAGCCCTGGATCTCTGAGTGGAGGCAGTCTACTGGTGTCAGAACCAGGGTCTCCGACGGAGCACTGTGGTTCCCCCACCGTGCTGTGAGGTTCTTTGGGACTTAAGCTCAGAGGAGGCAGCAGGCGTGGGCAGAGTAGCGTGTGCCTGCGAGGCCAGCCTCCTGCTGCCCTTCAGAGGCTGGGGGTGTGTAGAATGCCCTCCAGAGTCCTGGCCTCAAGTCAGCGCTGCCTGGTGAGATGGGAAAACACACAGGTCCGCTCTGCGCTGTGCGGTGCTGGCTTGAGTCGGCCCGCAGAGCCGTCCTGGGAAGCTCCCTGGCATTTCTCTCTGATTTTGCCAGCACTTCCCAGTCCCCCCCATTAGCCTCTTGAGTTAAACAGTAGTTGCCTCGTGAAGAAAGAATATTTGATTGCCCACAGGAAAGAAAATTTGTTAATCGGATCAACGCCTGACTGCTTGACATGTTTTCACTTTGCCTTTGTTAAAAAAAAAATCCATAAAGCCTGGAGGGCAGATTAAACATAATCTGACCACTGCTGTACTGGAGCAGCGGCTCCAGGTTGCAGCCACTGGGCGCTCTGTGAAAGTGCGCTCAGAAAAGGGGACGCGCCGCAGACACCCCGGCTCTGCCGCCACTGCCCCCCCCGCCCGTGTCTGCACCTGGACTAATGGGGCTTCTTGACTTGTTGCCTTTTAAGGTATCAAAGAAGTTATATTCATGTCCGATAAATACCATGACAGCGAGGAGACCACCGCTGCGAAGCTCATGTTTTATATGGCCGGGGTTACCTTCAGGTAAGTCGGCAGAACCAGGGCCAAGGGGAGTGGAAGCCTGATGGAGGAACAGCTGTGAGCTGGCTGCTGTTCATTCCTGCCGGGATGCCCGACTTCCCTCCGCTCTTGGAGGCGTCTTTCTTAATGCATTGGACTAAGCATCTAAGGGGTATTTTAGGGGTAGATTTTTCCGAGCACTGACAGAAGTATTTGAAGACAATCTGTCTAATTATCGCTCTTTAATATTAGTAGCTTTCCAAGGCTTGGGCTAGTTACTCTATTAGCAAGAAACTTAAAAACTCACAAGTTTTATAATATGAACATTAAACCTTTGTAAATTTTGCAAGTGTGACAACTCTGATGTAGAAAATTTAGGATGAAAGTTACCTACCAGGTTTGAGACACCAGGGATTCTTTTGACAGCAACATTTTAAACTGAAATGTGAAGTCATTTAGGTTTTTATGATTTTGTTTGCTAGGCAAAGATCGGGAGGTATGTTTGACTTGCAAGTAAGTTCAAACACCTTTGATTTGTAGTAGAAACTTCTTTAGAGACTGTGAAAGCTTTCAAAGCAGTTTCTTTAGAGTATTTGTGGGCAGTAGTGGGGTCTTATAATTGGTAACATACCTGTCCCCTTGCCTTCATCATTAGGGATATAGGTTATAGGCCATGAGTCTGTTGTGCCTTTTGAGACTATAAATCCAACCTTTACTGGTTTTTAAATGAATATGTTTAGTCCCCATATACTTTCTTTTTAACTGCTATAGAAGGCACATTAATGTGTAAAAAATACATATGTATGGTGGGTATATTTTACTTCTGCATTTTTTAAAACATGATTTTAAAAATTAGTCCTCACTAAACCTAGTTGCTTTTTTGCCATGTACAAGAGGCAAAAGAAAAATTGACTCCTTTTTGCTTTAGAGTGATTTCACCTTGGCTATAGAAATTTCCTAGAAAATAAGGTAAGTCTGGTGGGAAGAGTAGTGATCAGATGTCACGTGCAGCTAACTTGTTAGAGATCCTTTGCAGGCCCCTCCCCTCAATAATTCATGCACTCCGCTAGCGGAGGGACCTGTGAGCCAAGCAGCCCAGCATCTGTTTGGTCTTAGTCTTTTGTGGGCCGTGTTTCTCTCTGCACAGTGCCCTGTAAGTGGCTCCTATAGGATAAAGTGAGTCCCCGGAAAACGTTTCCTCCCCACAGAAAATGTAGGTCAAACCCAAGTAAACGAATTGCTTTGACTACTCACTGGATAATATCATTATATATTTCATCTCTTCCATTTAGGAAATTCACACCCAAGTGTAGCAAGATTGTCATTGACTTTGATTCCATTGACAGCAGTCCCGGTCAGAAGCTTCAGTGAGCTACATCTCATTAAACCGCCAAAGATTGGGATTTACCCTCTTCTAAGGAGCCGCAAGTGCCTTTCATCTCAAAGTTACACCTTACTTTTCAATACGTAGACATCTGAGGAACAGAAAGCCTCCGTTCGCCCCGACTCTCTCTCCTGCCACGTAGAATCTGCATCCGATTAAGCTATTGATTTAGGGTTTAAGATAAAGGAGCCTGTGGACGGCCCTTCTGGAGGGGCTGGGGTGGGGTGCCATGTGCCGGTTTGCTAGGGTGCTGGTGGCTCTGCAGAAGAGTGTCAGTTGCTGTCACTGCGCGTCACAGCTGCTGCAGGCGGCTGCATGTGCTGAAAGGACAAATAAATAATCGCCGTGTTGCCAGCAGGATGAGCTGACGCTGATGTGAACATCTGGCCCAAATGAGGCAGAACGTGTAGTGCCCTTGGAAAAAAAGGAGGGCCCACATGGCAGTGGCACGAGAGTGTTTGCTTTAGAGAGTCGGAAACAGCCACCCACCCACCCAGGAAACCTGGAGAGGGCGGCACCTGCGTCCTGAGTGGGTGGGCGAAGCTGGGCTCTGGACACTTCCTCTGCTTTTGCTGTCCTGCCCCCCACAGGGTAGTGGCATACTGTCCCTCAGAGGGTGGGGACCCCTTTGTTTTTATGTCTCGTTTTTGGTTTGTGGGTCACACGTTAGAGTTGTTCCCGGAGCTGTGGGGCGGGGATTGTGGGTGGGCGGGGCCATCGCAGGTCTTCCCGAGTAAATTGATTCCTGTGCTGTAGGTGAGATCTGAGGAAATTCAGGCCCCTCCAGGGCAGCTTATACCGGATCTGGTGATGGGACCTCATTTCTGCTCCTGGCACCGTGCGTTTCTGCATGGACCCAAATTGCACCTTCCTGTCACTGACTCGGGTGGAGGGGGGACATCACACGCACACGCGTGGCTGTCCACCTGCCTTTAATCCCACTTAATTTTTACTAAACATGCTCAGTACCTTTGCTGAGAAAGTGGTTTCTTTATCCTAAAGATTTGTACTATTTGAAAGCGCTCTTGTATTTTTATGTTTTTATTTTGTCTCTGAGGGTTTGTACTCCAGATTCCCGGGCATTTTGTAATTTGACTCCTTACTGATGTTATCAAAATCTTATTAAAACCTACCCCAGCGAAGTATGTTCATTTTTACCTTGTAATTAGATGCTTGGTTCTCTGTTTCTGTCGTTCCTGCGTTGTCTGAGAAGCACATTGCATGTTTTAATGCTCAGAGAATAGTCTGAGACACTGAGGAGCGTGCCTCCCCCGGGGCTGGTGGGCTCATGGATCAGCTTGAAGATGCTAAGAGAGGTTCTCACACTTCCCCCTCCTGTGCACCTGCCCCTCGTCTCAGGTGGGGCCACCCAGTAGGTCATCAGGGCCATTCAATGGGTCCCAGGCCACCTCCCTTCTCCGATACTTCAGTCTCCATTTACGGCCCTCCTGAAAATGGTAGCTTCAGGAAGCCATCAGCCAGGAGACCGGCCTGAAGTTCTGGGAAGACCAGACCTCGAGGGTCAGGGCTCCGCAGGCCCACCCGCTGTCAGGAAACCGTGGTGACGTGGTAAGGAGAGTTACAGGTCACACCTGCGGAGGCAGACAAGGTAACCCTGGGCCCAGGACTTTGGGGACCCAGGATCATATTTAGAGGAAAAGATGATCATATTTAGGCTAAATGAGGGTGCCTGAGAATTCTACAAAGACCTAGAGGTAGCTCTGTTTTCCTTTCAGAACTGTTGGAGAGGTCGAAACCATTTCATCATCAGAGCCTGTGACTCCGAATAGTTACTGAGAGCCTGCCATGCCCCAGGAGGGTTCTCCAGTGGGGTGGTTTCTGCTTCAGAGTTAGGGTAGGTGGACATGGTTAGATAATAGAGTTGTTAGATGAAGCCTGCGGTAATGTGATTTGTAATAAATACATATGTGGCCTTTGTTGCCGTTTCTGGCAACGAGCTAAAACCCTTGGATTATCCTAAATGATCAGAGCAATGTAGGTGTATCTTGTTGGGTTAATGAGGTATCTTTGGGATCCCATCTAAGGATAGGGGCTGGTTGGCAGGAGAACCAACCATGTGATTAGAGGGTTGGAACTTTCAATCCCACTCCACCCCTCGGAGGAGGAGGGGCTGGAGGTTCAATCAACAGCCAGTGGCCAGTGATTTGATCCATCAGATGTATGTAATGAAGCCTCGGTAGGAACCCAAAAGGACAGGGTCCAGAGAACTTCGGGTCGGTGAACAGTGGAGTGGAGGTTTCGGGGAAAGGAACACTCCGGGGGAGGGCATGGAAGCCCTGCGCCCTTCCTGCTACCTTGCCGTGTGCGTCTCTCATCTGGCTGTTCCCGAGTTGTATCTGTTTACAAAAAATCGGTCACCTGGTGAGTAAAATGTTCCTCTCATTTCTGTGAGTGGCTCTAGCCTCTTGGTCCAGCAGTAGAGGTAACAACTGGCACCTGAAAGTTCGAGAAGGGGGTCGTGGGAGCTCTGAGAGCTGGTTAGTCAGAAGCACAGGTGACAGCCTGGACTTTCGATTGGCCTCTGAATGGGGGAGGGGCAGTCTTGGAGGTCTGAGCCCCTTATCTGTAGACTCTGATGCTATCTCTGGGTAGGTAGTGTCAGAATTGAGCAGAACTGTGGCACATGCAGCTGGTGACCTGAGACTTTTGCTCAGTGGTGTGGGGTAAAGTCATCCCCCCTTGTCAATATTGAAATTGGGTCCAGGAACCCCAACTAAAACCCAACTTTGCCAACCTCTTTACTTTGCCAGCGATCACCTGCCTGTACCGTGCAGACACGACCTGTAGTTTAATTTCTCTGGGATTGAGTTGTCTACTGTTAGTGTCCACATCTGAGTGTGGCCAGTGCGGAAGGGCGGGGGTCAGAAGTGAGTGTCTGCAGGTGCCCAGCTGTTACTCATTTCCAAGTTCAGAGATTTTAAAAAGATTTTAAGGTCTTTAAAAAGTTCAGTATTTCCAACGAAAATTGGAGGAGGTGTTCTGTGTACCGTGCCCTGCTTACCACTCAGCGGTGGCCTTCCTCGGCGGAGCCGTGGTCTCAGGCTTGGAGCCTGACAAAGGCGTTGCCCTTATTTTTGGCGGCCGGCTGCCAGCCCTCTTCTCGAGCTCTACGCTCCCTCTTGAACCCTAGTCTGTATCTTTGCTTTCCTGCTTTAATTCTCTCTGTGTTTTTAAATACGTATGTTTATAATGTAAAATACACATAACATACCTTAATTTTAACCATTTTTAAGTGTACAGCACAGTGGTATTAAGCACAGTCACAGTGTTGTTAACCATTCCATCATTCACCTCCAGAGCTCTTCATCTTACAGAACTGAAACCCTCTGCCCACTGGACACTCACTCCCCATGCCCCTCTCCCCCCAGCCCCCGGCCACCACCGTCCTGCATCTGTCTCTGTGAATTTGACAGCTCTAGGTACCTCATGTGAGTGGAAGCGTGCAGAACCTTCTCTGTGTGACTGGCTTGTTTCACCTAGAGTAATGTCCTCAAGGGGCATCCATATTGTAGAATTTATCCATATTGTCAGAATGTCCTTTCTGAAGGCTGGATACTATTCCACTGTGTACCACCTTTTGTCAGTCTGTTCATCTGTTGATGGACTCTTGCATTATCTCTACCTTTTGGCCCCCAGTTTTTTATGAACGTCCAGTGCTCCTCTGCCACCCGCATCATCCCCCTGGGCCCTGCCTCCCTCCCTACACCAGTCACCCAAGGTCCCAGAGGATTACTCACCTTGAAAAAAACCAGATAAACCCACAAAAGCAAAAACAGCCCTTCTAAGAGGCTGTTACAGGGCTTCCTTTGCCCACCCACAGGTTTGGATGCATCTTTCAAGGTAGAGCTGGGATCCTAGAGCTTTCTCTAAAGTTCCCCCAGGCTGTCCTCCATTCAAGGTGATCTTTCTCTCTCTGAAATCCTTCAGTAGTTCCTGTCAGCAACAGTCTTTGTGGCAATAAATCATGCACTGTTTGATGACATCTCTTCTACTGTCTGGAACTATTATTGAGACATTTCATTGAACTTTTCTCATTGATCTCTTCCTGCTCTAAGGAGACGGTGAACCAGAGCATGTGTGTGTCTTGAGTATCTCTTTACCCACGGGCCCCCATCCCACCCACATGTCTGCACAGTATCTCGTGCAGAGGTGTTCAATCATATTTCCATTTAAAAGTTATAAACCTGATTGCACTTTAATTCAGTGAAGTAGCTGATCAGCAGCCAACTTCCTAAATTATTTTTTCCATGTCAATTTCCTTGGGAATGGCTAAGAAAAAAAATAGTCAAATAGAATGTTAGAGAAAGAAATCTTCCTGTGAGCATCAGGGTTAATGGGCACATTTATCTTTGAGAGAGAAGGGAGATTACTATTTAAATGTCCTATTTTTAACTTCTGCGTTTCAGTTACAGCATTCTTACATATGGTTTTGAATTAGGAATTTGGCAATAATATACACTCCTAGCAGGACACCCAGAGATGATGTTTCCATTTAAACCCATTTGATTAGGGGATGTCTTGACCTTTCCAGGTCTTAAATCTCTATAGAATGATAACCATTGCAGGGGTTCTCCATTTTAACTTTTGTTAATGAAAATTGTTATGTCTTGGTATTGTTAGAGATGCCATTTGGCGCAGGTTGGAAATAGACGTTTTGTTGTGCAATTGCTTTCTTTGCACAGTGGTGCATGGCATGCAGCTGCTTCTGCTTCTCCCCAGGTTTTCCCCAATAATGAGTAATCTGTGCAGCTGTAACAGACACCCGACTCTCAGGGGCTTAAACAAATAGCATATTTTTCTCACCTAGTAAGTACAGAAGTGAGCACTTGCTGGAGTTGGTTCAGCTGCTCAGCGATGTCAGCAATGATGGAGGCTTTTAAATTTGTTTTCACTTGGCTCTCTTTAGCAGTATATCTTCAAGCTTGTTCTGTCAAGCTTCAGGCATCCTCATTAAATGCAAGAAGAAGGAAATGGGAGGTGGGGTGGATGTGAGGCTTCTCCCCTCTTGCCTGTCCCTTTATCAGGAAGCTTCCAGCAAATATTCTTTTATGTCTCATTGGCCACAGGTGGATCATATGGCCACCTTAGCTGCAAGAGATGCTGTCAGGGTGCTTGGCATTCCAAGTTTTATAGCAGAGTCTGCATGGGAGAAGGGGGTTAGAAACACTTGTTACTACAGTCATGCACCGGATGTTGATGTTTTGGTCAACAATGGACCTTTCATACAACAGTGGTTTACCATATAGCTTAGGTGTGGCTGTGCCATCTAGGTTTGTGTAAGTGTACCCTATGATGTTCATGCAACGGCGAAATTGCCTAATGATGCATTTCTCAGAATGGATTCCCGTTGTTACACGGCGCATGACTGTAATGATATGGGCCATGGTATACCCCTTGCTTGGGAAATTGCATAACAGTCTAATTATGAAATTTCTACTCAGCTACTTTTCACATATTAGGTGTTAAAGTATTTGTTGAGTTCAAAAGTGATATAAGACTTTCAAATTCCTATATATAAAAAGTCTTATTTTCTTGAGCAGAACTATGAAAGAGAAACACACACACACACACACACACACACACACACACCCCATTTGAAAGTAAATTACATCATGGCCTTTGGCCCCTAAGTACTTTGTGTGTCTCCCAAGAATTAGAGAGATTTTCATATATAAAACCAGAGTGTATTTATCAACTTCAGTAAAATTAACAATACTTTAGCATTCATATTTCAATTTTGTCAGTTGACCCAATATATACATATTTTTGTAGCATTTTCAGTACAGGAGCCAGTCTAGGGTCTGGCCTTACAGTTAGCTGCTGTGCCCCTTCAATCTGAAACGCCCCCACTGTGGTGCTGCTGCTTAGGAGAGCCCCTTTCTCCCGATGCCTTAGGCTAAGATTCCTTAGAAGCAACAATTTTCACACTTTTTGGTCTCAAGTTCCCTTTACACTATTAAGAATTATTGTGGACCCCCAAAACGCTTTTGTTCATGTGGGTTACCACTGTTGATATTGACCACATTCGAAATTTAAAAAGAAGCTCTGGCTTGTGTGGCTCAGTGGCTGGAGCATCATCCTGTGCACGGAAGGGTCTCGGGTTCGATTCCCGGTCAGGGCACAT